TGCGCCTTGCGGAACGTGTCTGCGCGCCGCATCCGCTTGCGGTGCAGCATGAGCTGGTGCTCGAGGGCCTTGCCGTCGGCCGGTGGGTCGGCCGCCAGGTCGCGCACGATCCGGCTCAACTCGCGCAGCTGCTCCTCATTCACCAGCTCGTCCCACTGCCGGTAGATGTCCTCGACGTCGGCGTTGACCTGGTTGTAGCGCGTGCTCTTGTACTTGTCGGGGTCGTCGTCGTCGCCGCGCGACGTCAGGTCGGTGCCGCTCTTGGGCGGCATGGCCACGCGAGGGGTGTGGGGTGTGGCGAAGGTATGGCTCGCGAGTGACGGCAGCTGCGCGTAGACGGCTCCACACGCTTTTGCGCCAATTGGTCACAGCAGCGCCTCCACGACGCCTTGGACCGCGACGTGAGCGAAAGCCCGCGTGTTTTCTTTTTCTGTGAGAGAGAGTTGTCTTGTTTAAATTCTTTTTCTAGAATGATCTTACCGTACTACCTACCTACCTTACCGTCACTTCCTGTCGTCTGTTGTTTGAGTTGTGCCCTTGTTTGTGCCCTTGGCACCGTGGAGTGCTGGGGGGGGCGACAGGGAGGATGTGGCCCTGAGTTATGTGTACGCCGACTCAGGGTGTGTGGCAGCCAGCTGGCTGTGTGTCTTGTGAGCCTGTTTGTGTCTGTGTGTCGCTCGTGCGTGTCGTCATCATCTGTCCAGCGTCCACCCATACCGCGTTGGTGTCCAGTCCGAGCCTGGCTGTTCTTCACCTTTAGGAGGCGAGGCCACCGCTGTTGCTGCTGCTGCTGCTGCTGCTGCTGCTGCTAATGCTGCGGCTGCTGCTAATGCTGCCGCCACTGCTGCTGCTCTCTCCCGCCCCGCCCGCCCTCCCCGCCCCGCCCCGCCCGCCTGCCCACCCGCCCGCACGCCCTCCTTCCCACCAGTCGCCCCACCCCTCCGCCCCCTCCAGATCGCCCTCTTCCCAATCCCTCCTCGCACCATCGACAGATAGGCGCTCGATTCCTCCTCTCGCTGCCTACTCGCTGCCTCGAGGGGAGGAGGGGAAGATGTCGAGCGTTCCTTTTTGAGCAAGTGTGACGCCGCGCGAGCGACGCTCCGAGATCGCCCGAGATAGCGCGGCGCGGCCCCGAGATCGCCCGAGATAGCGCGAGATCGCCCGAGATAGCGCGGCGCGGCCCCGAGATCGCCCGAGATAGCGCGAGATCGCCCGAGATCGCGCGGCGCGGCCCGGGGCGGGGTGGATGGGTTGGGAGCGAGGGGGCGGAAGTGATCAGTGCGGTAGAGGGTCAGCTCGAGGCGCGTGAGCCGGACTTGTGAGCCGGACCACCCCCTCTTGTTCTCTGCGTTGTTGAGCCAGGACTCAACATACTCGGGCTGTTGCCATCCCAAACTGTCACTCCCCTTTCTCCCGGCCGGGGTGGGGCGCGCGCGGGGGCGGCGGGTGTGAGGGATGTCTGTGAGCCCGAGAGCGATATGCCATGTCCGCCTTGCGTGTTTTCATAACATCGAAGGCTAAGCTCAAAATAAAAAAACCCAGCCGCACGCGGGGTACTGTCAGAGGCGCGACTGTCGGGCGTTGGCCGTCGCCGCGCCATCGGCTCGCTCATCCCCGTCGCCGCGGCTCGTCGTCGATGCTGCAGCTCAACCCAAAGCACCACCGCTCGCCAAGGCTTGGCGAGAGGCTGGCTCCGTACCAGCAGAGTCCCGACGCCTCGCGCGATCGCTTCCTCGTGACTCCCGAGCCGCCGCTCCACCCAGGCCCTCCGCCGCCGGGCAGGCCGCCGAAACAGGAGACGCTGACTGTGCCCCTGCTAGATGTGGAGCCCGCCATTCTCGAGGCTGCGCCCGACATGTGGTCGCTGCCGCAGATTGCCATCTACAGCCACTATGCGTGCGTCGGCATGGTCAATGGGCTTCTGTCGCAGACGCTGCTGCCGTACTGCCTCTACGTAGTCCATGGCCAGCCAAACACGTGCGCGACGGTCTCCACCTTTGTCAACCTTCCGTGGGGCTTCAAGCTTGCGTACGGCATGCTCAGCGACGCGGTCAGTGCAGTATATCTCCATCAGTATTAGTGCTGACACGGCATGATCAGAAGCGATGAATACGGCATGCTCAGCGACGCGGTCAGCACGAGAGTCGCCGCGTGATTCGAGCCAAACAGTCCAAACATGAAAGCGCACCGCCGCTCCTTCCCTGCCGCCCGAGTCTGGGTGCCGATCTGCGGCTTGCGGCGCAAGAATGAACTCATGAATTAATTAACTAGGTGCCGATCTGCGGCTTGCGGCGCAAGAATGAACTCATGAATGAATTAACTAGGTGCCGATCTGCGGCTTGCACCGCAAGCCGTACATGGTCCTCGGCTGGGGCATGCTCTGGGGCGGCGCCCTCCTGCTCGCCGTCCTCCCGACGCTCACTCTGCCGCTCGCCTCGACCATCTTCCTGTGCATGACCGTCTCGTACCTCCTCGCCGACTGCGCCGCCGACGCGGTGCTCGTCGCCCTCTCGACGAGAGAGGCGGCCGAGGCGCGGGGCTCGCTGGCCTAGAAGCGGAACACGGGTTCTCGTACTCCAACCAGCGCTCGAGCACGTACTCAACCTTATTCGGCCGTATCCCGCTGTACTCCGCTGCATTCGTGCCCCTGGTATTCACACGGTGCTCTGAATGCTCTGCACGATCCCGTCCTCCCGGCCTGATGTTGGCGGATTCGGCACGGCAGGCTCGCTCATCTCCACCGCCTACCTGATCCGGCACTCGGTCAACGTGCTGGCGAACGGAGTCGTCGCGTTCTGCTACAACGGCCCCCCCGAGCGGCGGCTCCTTAATTAATCAGTCTTAATTAATTAAACAGTCTTAATTAATTAATCAGGCCCCCCCAGCGGCGGCTCGTTCAGCTGGGGCCTGACCACACAGCAGCTGATGTGGATCATCGTCGCCTTCGTCGGCGTCCTGATGGGAGCCTCCCTCCCCTTCCTGCACGAGGCGATCTCCCCATATCTCCCCATATCTCCCCATATCTCCCGTTCTGATGGGCGCCTCCCTCCCCTCCCTGCACGAGGCGATCTCCCCATATCTCCCCATATCTCCCCATATCTCCCGTTCTGATGGGGAGCCTCCCCTCCCTGCACGAGGCGCCTCCCGGCAAGCAGCTCAGCTTCCGGAGGCGGTGCAAGCAGCTGCTTCGCCTCCTGCAGCAGGCCTGTGTCTCCCCACATCTCCCCACATCTCCCCACATCTCCCCACATCTCCCCAAGCAGCTGCTTCGCCTCCTGCAGCAGGCCCGTGTCTCCCCACATCTCCCCACATCTCCCCACATCTCCCCACATCTCCCCAAGCAGCTGCTTCGCCTCCTGCAGCAGGCCTGTGTCTCCCCACATCTCCCCACATCTCCCCACATCTCCCCACATCTCCCCAAGCAGCTGCTTCGCCTCCTGCAGCAGGCCCGTGTCTCCCCACATCTCCCCACATCTCCCCACATCTCCCCACATCTCCCCAAGCAGCTGCTTCGCCTCCTGCGGCAGGCCCATATCTCTCCATATCTCCCCACATCTCCCCACATCTCCCCACATCTCCCCAAGCAGCTGCTTCGCCTCCTGCGGCAGGCCAATATCTCTCCATATCTCCCCACATCTCCCCACATCTCCCCACATCTCCCCAAGCAGCTGCTTCGCCTCCTGCGGCAGGCCAATATCTCTCCATATCTCCCCACATCTCCCCTCCTGCGGTAGGCGCCGGTGTGGAGGCTCATCGTCGCGCTGGTCAGCGTCACCACGCTCTCGCTCGTCACCAACCAGGCATCCTTCTCCTTCTTGTTGTGGTTGTTATTACTACGCTCTCATTCTCACTATTGTTTCACTAGTAGCACCCAAACCAGGAGTCTATTATATTAACGATTACCATTGTTTCATGATTATCACCATCACAGCATCACGCTCCCGCCCGTCTCCAACACTAGGCGCAGATCAACGCAAACGCTCAGTGGTTCCACTATCGAGCCGCTGCAGTCGGCCTCTCGGCATATCTCCCCCCATCTCCCCCCATCTCCCCATAGGTTCCACATCGAGCCGCTGCAGCTCGGCCTGTCGGCCTGCTTCCAGAGCCTGATGATGGCGGTCGGCATGTGGGCCTTCAAGCGGTACCTGCTGCAGGAGAGCAGAGGGGGGGGGGGGGGGGGGGGACCCCCCCCAGGGGCGTGCGGGCAGGGAGGGAGGGAGGGAGGGAGGGAGGGAGGGAACCCCCCCCAGCGCGTGCCCGGGGGCCAGGGAGGGAGGGCCAAGGAGGGAGGGCCAGGGAGGGACGGCCAGGGAGGGACGGCCAGGGAGGGCGTGCGGGCAGGGAGATATGGGGAGATAGGGGGGAGATGTGGGGAGATGGGGGGAGATAGGGGGAGATAGGGGGAGATAGGGGGAGAGATGCAGGGAGACGCGAGCATCAGCCCAGTCCCGCCCGCGGACGCGCTGTGTGCGGTGGCGAGGGGGCGTGGGCGAGGGGGAGCCTGCTCGCTGAATGGCCGAGAGCGCCGCCCGCCGGAGAGCCTTGCGGGCGAGAGGCGGCAGGGATGCGCCCGCCCAACGAGGCTGTGATCTGCTGCAGGCGAGCTGGCGGCTGACGTACGCCGGAGGTATCCTCGGCGCGCAGCTGCAGAAGCGGGATCCAGTGGTCCTTGTATTCCGCCCGTGTGGAGGCTCTTGAGGGGGGCACGTGTGCCCCTTCTCTTCGGCCGTAGTCAGTCGCATTCACTGCAGTCGTGTCCCTCGCAACCCCGTGCATGCACTGAGCACACACTGCCTGCACAGTGCCGTGATCCCGCCCTGATGTCGTCAACGCGTGGATTGCTTGCGGGAGATGTGGGGAGATGTGGGGAGATGTGGGGAGATCTGAGGAGATGTCGTCAACGCGTGGATTGCTTGCACACCGTACTCCCGCCCTAGCCATCCCGCCCTGTAGTCCGCATCCCGCCCTGCGAGCACCACCCGTAGGCACACAGCTCTTCTCGCTGCTCTACCTGCTCACCATCTTCGTCCCGCTCTTCAAGAACGGCTGGTGGTACGTCTTCACGCAGGTGGAGAGTCAATTAATTAATTAATTAATTAATTGATGACTCAGTTGAGAGAACGGCTGTGGTGGGTACGTCTTCACACACAGCGGACAGTGAGTCAACCTCACGAATGAATTGACTGAAAGAACGGCGCCGGCACGTCTTGACGCAGGTGGACACGTCTCGGCATATCTCCCCATCTCTCGGCACATCTCCCCATCTCTCCCCAAGCGCAGGTGGGCATGTCCCGTCCCACATCTCCCCACATCTCCCCACATCTCCCCACATCTCCCCACATCTCCCCATGACGCAGGTGGACATGTCGCTCGCGTACGCGCTCACGTCTGCGATCGGCATCGTGGTGATCCCCGAGATCACGGCGATTGATTAATTAATCAGTCTTAATTATAATCAGTCTTAATTAATCATCAGGTGATCCCCGAGATCACGGTGCCCGGCTTCGAGGGAGTCATCTACGGCGCCGTCACCACGTACACGAACCAGGCGCGGAGTGATGTGTTGAATGCGTTGATGAGCAACTAATCCAGACGTGTGTGTGTCGCCCCGTCCACGAAACCAGGCGATGAACGTGGCGAACGCCATCAACAACCTCCTCCTCGCCGTCTGGCCCTCCGACACGGCCGGCGGGGCCGCGTTTTTCTTCTTTCCGGGGTCACGCCTCTCGTTGTTCTTAGGCCGTCCAACACGAACAACGACGAGCTCAAGGCGCTTGCGCCCGCTGGACGCCATTCTCTTGTTATGGCCATCACCATTTGTGCCATTGCTTTGGTTGCGGTTGTTGGTATTGCTGTCACGAGTACGATTATGAACTTTGTTGCTCTGTTGTTATTTATCTAGGATGACTAGCATCATCATCATCATCATTGTTCTTGTTGTCGCTACGCTGAAGGCGTGCGCCCTTGGACGCGCACGGCTAAGCGCGTCGGAGGCCGGTGCGGCCGCACGACGATGTGTGCGCAGTGACGCCCCTCGATCCATCTCGGCTCATCTGCTTATCTCTCGCCAGGCGCGTCGTGCGAGGAGGTGCAGTGGAACATGGCGTGGCTCACGCTGCTCGCCACCGCCACCGCTTGCCTCTCGCTCCTCTTCCTGCCCCTGATGCCGAGCCAAAAGGAGGAGGTGCGCCGGCTCGCGGAGCTGCCCCGCAGCCGCGCCGCCGGCTGGGCGATGCTTGCGCTGCTCGCTTTCCTCGTCATCTTCGGCACGGCGCTCCGTCCCGGTCCTGTGAACGTGGACGTGAGGTCTCTTCACACGGTCGTCTGTGAACAGGCACGACCCTCGCCGTGCTGCCAATCTTCCCGCAGACGGCCTGCCTCGAGATCGCCGGCGGAAAGGGGTGCTAGGGCCGCGCTGCTAGCCGCGGGGTGCCGCAAGGTGCCAGAGCGCCGCGGGGTGCCAGAGCGCCGTCGTGCGGCCCTCCCCGGAGCAGCATTGGCCCGTCGCACCTCTGGCAGCGCCGGCTCAGCTTGCGGGAGAGAGCTCACCTTGGCAGCGGGCGGCCACGGGCCTCCGGCTGCTCTGCACACGCATACTAGATCGATAGAGAGGCGCTCACAGTCAACGATTGGGACACCGGGGTACTCTATGGGAGACACGTTGCAGCGCGGTGTACGACTGCAAAAAGAACAATAAGTAAAAAGCGGAGTGTTTACCTCGAGAGAAATGCGACGGTGTATCACGTATCAGTCGCCTTTTACTGGGCTGGGTTTTTAGGCATTGTGCTTTGTGGGGTTGGCACTCCCACATCGACCCTCATGACCTCCTGCGGTCTCTGAGATGGACACCAGTGGGTAAGGTAAGGTAAGGTAAGGTAAACTTCTCCACACACACGAGCCACGAGGTGGTGGGGCACTGTGGGGTGTGGGACCACAGCCAGGATACACTCGAAGGCTGGGTAAGCAGTAGAGGTCGATACTCGACGCGTCCCACATGGTCTGTGTCGCTGTCGGCACGCTGTCGACAGGACGTCGAGCGACACCGGTGGCAGTCCCACCCAGGAGTGGTCGGGCGGTCTCCCGTCATGAGAGAGCCACCATGTGATCCGTATGATGATTCCTGACAACCGCCTCGCGCAAACAACTTCCACAATGCACAAGCAACAACTCTCTCTCTCTCTCTCTCTCTCTCTCTCTCTCTCTCTCTCTCTCTCTCTCTCTCTCTCTCTCTCTCTCTCTCTCTCTCTCTCTCTCTCTCTCTCTCTCTCTCTCTCTCTCTCTCTCTCTCTCTCTCTCTCTCTCTCTCTCTCTCTCTCTCTCTCTCTCTCTCTCTCTCTCTCCTTTTTTCATTTTGTTTTGTTCCAACAATCGGCGGCTCAAGCGGGAGGGAGCGGAGACGGTGGGCAGCGAGCAAAGTGGGTGAGACTGATGATGCTCCTTCGACTTCGGGAGCGGTTCAGCTGCTGGGCGGGCTTCAGGTTGGTGCTCACGCGAAAAGGAATCGACGCGATGTGCAAAGCATACAAGAAGGGGAGAAGGAAGAGGAGACACGCCGGTGAGGACGAAGCAGAAACTAGCGCAGACGAGAGCAGGACAGACCCGGGGACTGGGGAGCCGGAGCGGACGGCATCGGCCGCCGAGGGACGTTGGGAAGAGGCACGAGGAGGGCGGCGACCTCGACCGACTATGGAGGACCCGTCGCCAGACGACGCAGGGCAGACGATGTGGAGGCGGAGCAGACGCGCAGGGCGAGACGAGGGAGGGAGCAGGACTTTGCGGAGATCAGCAGGAGGATGTACGAAGAGATTAGGAGCAGCAGGGACCCGATGGACCATGTGGAAGACGGCTAGTGCTAGTCCCCCATCGGGAGGACGACCCCGGCTAGTCGCCGACCACACCCACAAAGAACCTCCGAGCAGCGCCGGGCGGCGGAGCTGGAGGGCGAGGTGCGCCGGCTGTGGGCGGATCGCTCGCCGACGTGACTCCAGCCAACGACTTAGTTTGGGTCTCCCGAGCCGGCGCCGCAGCGGCGCGACGGGGCTGGCAGCGGCGACATTGGCTCTGGCGGCACGCGCGGCGCGCCGAGCGGCGAGAAGCTGCGCGACGCGGCGGGCAAGGTGTTTAGCAAGGTGGACGGCCGCCTCGACGGCGTCTTCGACAAGGTGGAGGGGCTCGGCTCGAACTTGGCGATGCGGCTGACGCGGGGCACGGGCGCGCTGCGGGAGCGGCTAGTGCGCGAGGAGGATAGGTAGGTGCGCAAAGCAGCTACGCTATTTAGTTGTTTAGCTCCGCCACTCACAAGAGCGTCCCGGTCCGCCGGTGTTCAAGAGCGTGCTCGCGGGTGTGAGCGTCCTAACTAAATGTATGTGTGTGTCTCGCGCCTTGCTGGGGGGGAGCGGAAAGGAGGAACCTCTTCCCAAGAGCACCACTCTTGGAGCGCCGCCACTACCACCCAGAGCGCTGCAAGCAGCGCCGGGCAATGACGGCTTACCGCCCACCCAGCCCCCCCTCGGCACACCCCGGCAGCCAATGTGTGACGGCTCGAACCCGCTAAGCCACCCCGCAAGCGGGATGGCCCGCCACTCGAACCCGCAAGCGGGCGTACGAACCGCGAGCGGCTCGCACTCGTGACACGCAGGCGTCCGACAGACGGCGCCGGGGCTAGGCGACCGAAGAGGAACTACGGCAAGAACCGCACACCACCCGCTGACGAGGGTTGGACCCGCGTACCAGGTTTCCCCTTAACTGCAAGGACGCCCCCTCTACTCGGAGCTAGTGATACGTGATACGGGAATACGTACCGCCCCCACGCAGTACCTACACTACTCGACGAGAATACAAGAATACGCAGCTGCTAGACGCCTGCACTACTCGACGATAATACAAGAAGAATACGCAGCTTGGAAGTTGCAGACGCCTATAAAGAAAAAAACAGCAAGCTAAATTTCGGCGGCTAAAAAGCAAAGGACGGGCGCTTTTGATCGGCAAAGCAAAGTTAGGGAGGAGGTGGTGAAGGACCTTGGGGCGGCGAGGGAGGAGGCGGCGAGGGAGGAGGCGGCGAGGGAGGAGGCGGCGAGGGAGGAGGCGGCGAGGGAGGAGGCGGCAAGGGAGGAGGCGGCGAGGGAGGAGGCGGCGAGGGAGGAGGCGGCGAGGGAGGAGGCGGCGAGGGAGGAGGCGGCGAGGGAGGAGGCGGCGAGGGAGGAGGCGGCGAGGGAGGAGGCGGCGAGGGAGGAGGCGGCGAGGGAGGAGGCGGCGAGGGAGGAGGCGGCGAGGGAGGAGGCGGCGAGGGAGGAGGCGGCGAGGGAGAAGGCGGCGAGGGAGGAGGCGGCAAGGGAGGAGGCGGCAAGGGAGGGGAACGGATCGGCGGACAGACGGCCCGTTTTTCTTTTTTTCGTGCACGCCACACTCGGATCAGCGCTGCTTGTTCCAGCGCTCGCTTCTCTGCTCCTTGTCGCAAGCACCGCTCACGGCACCAAAACACGGCGATATGTCGAACGACCCGCCGACGAAGGGTCAGAGAAGCGTGAGATTCGACGAGGCGGCTATACGCGACGATCGCATCGCTAAATGGCAGCGGCAGCGGCGAAATGATGTTCGTCGGCTGTGGGCCAGCATCTTTGTTCTGTTCGCTCTGCTCTTCGTCGTTTCACGCATTCCGCCGCCGCCGCCACCACAGTCGCCGCCGCCGCCGCCGCCGCCGCCGCATATACACATATATCGCTCACCGCCACCGGCATCGTCTCGCCAGAAGCAGAACCCAGTGCGCACCAAACCGCGTAGCAATCCGCCTCCCCGCCCAGCAAAAGTGAACGCCATGAAGGCGAAGGGGAATCGGTCGTACACGCCTTAAAACATGTGAGTTGCGTGTGACTCAGCATGCGCGATATGTCGAATGTGCGTCAGTGACAGTGTGTGTCACACTGTCAGTCAACGTTCACGTTGAGGTCGTTGCACCGTACGAATACGAGTAGTTGCAAGTAAGGCTCTCAGTCTGTGTCTGTCGGTCCACTCCCGCTGTTTCCCTTCCCATGTGGTCCACGCGAAATCGGAAATGCACCACGTGGCGGCCGCAAGTTCCGGTGAACCAAGCTGTGTGTGAACTTCTCAAGTTGCCGCATGCCGGCTCACTCTCTGTACGTACAATCGGGATCTTGCGCGAGAGCCCGCAGCTACATACTCAGCTCTAACCACACTGTGCGCAGCTCTCGCCCTCCCGCCTCCGCTCCTCCCTCCACACCGAGTGCAGGTACCGCTGCCCGCCGTCGCACAGCACAGTGACGATCGTGCTGCCCGGCGGCAACACCTCCGCAGCACGCAGCACTCCGACGCAATTCATCGCGGCGGAGCCGCCGACGAAGAGCCCCTCGTCCCGCAGCAGCCGCCGCGCCATCGCACACGACTCCTAGGCGCACACCGCCCTCGTGGTGAACGGACGCCGCTCACATGAACATGGGAGGGGGGCCGCGCCATCGCGTGCGGCCTCGTCGCTCACACGAAACGCGGCGTCGATTCGAGCGGCCGCGAAGTTGGCGGTGAGGCGGTCGCACCCGACGCCCTCCATGATGGTGTCGTACCTCACAAGAAAAAAGAACTCGTACGGGAAAAAGAAGTCGCAGCGCACGCCCTCCACGATGGTGTCGTACCTGATGGCGAGTGGAGGATGACCCAGAGCTACGTGCGCCGGCCGACGCCCTCCACGCCGGTGTCTCGCACCTGACAAGAACAAAGAACTCGCGGCCGCTCGGAGCAGCGTCTCACCCCCGGCTCCGCGACGCTGTTCTGCCGCACCGGTTCCGGCGCGCCGTCCGCTCCTGCTGCTGCGGCGCATACAGCACGCCGTGCTCCACGCGGTGGAAGAGGGCCGAGCCCGGCGGGTCGGCGAGGAAGACGCGCACCGACGGCTTCCTGCGTGCTGAGCCCGCCATCCTCAGGGCGGGAGGGCGGTAGAGTGCCGTGTATCAGAGCGCCGCGTGAGTACGAGGGGGTGCGAAGACAGTGCGCACGGCTGAATACGGCCGAGTACGGCCGCATACGTGTCCTCTCCGGCGCTAGTTGGGAGACCGGAGTACGTATTCTGCTTCTGGGGTCGGCTTTCCGCCGCTTGAGCGTGCGCGAGACACCGGCGAGCGTGCCTCCGGTGCCAGCGCCCATCACAAAGGCATCGACGGTACCGCGCGTCTGCGCCTGCAGCGGGGAGGGGCCCGCGAATATCGTCCAACCGAATCCACCTCCTCGCATCCCGCCCAAACTACGCCAGCCACGTCCAACCGGCCAATCTAGCCGTGTGTGGCACTCGCGGCTCCTCTGCGCCCAGATCTCAGCCGCCGTCCCCGCCTCGTGCGCGCGCGTGTTTGCCAGGTTCTCAAACTGGTCGGCAAAGATGGAGCCGTCGCCGAGGGCGGCGGCGCGCGCCCTCGCCACGTTGACCGGGTGCGCCGCGTCCGCGATCGCGGCAGGCCGGACCAGCTCGAGCGTCGCGCCGAGCGCGGTGATGAGCTCGCGCTTCTGAGGCGACACGTCGTCTGCGGCGACGAGGTGGCAGCGGTAGCCCTTGGCGGCGCACACCAGGGCGAGGGAGATGCCGGTGCTCCCGGCCGTCGCCTCGACGACCGTCCCGCCCTCGCGCAGTGCGCCAGCCGCCTCGGCCTCGGCGACAATCGCGGCCGCCACCCGGTCCTTGGCGCTGCCGCCCGGATTGAGGAACTGCGCGCGGCCACGGGCGCGCGGTGTCGGCGTGGTGCGGCGGCACGGGAGGCCGCTGTGACGTGGGGCGAGAGCGGAGGCGCACCTCAGCTTTGGCGAGCACGCGGCAGCCGGTCGCCGCCGAGAGGGACGGCAACTCCAGCAGCGGCGTGTTGCCGATCAGATCGAGCGCGTTGGAGGCGACGCTGTCGTCGCGCCGAGGCCGGCGGCGCTGACTCCGCAACAACAGGAGGGCGACGCACGCGAGACCGGCCGTGGCGGTGGCCGCGCCAAAATAAGTTAGCATTTGTGGAAGAAGAATTTAAAGCCTACATGCGCTTCTCAGCTCACCGGCCCTGGATGTGAGGTTGCCGACTGCACTCCAAGTGCTCCAAGTGCCTCGCTCAAGACGGGGCCGAAAGAAGAAGAATTTAAACAAAAGACTCGCTAGACAGCAGACAGGCTCGACACAGGTGCGAACTGGCGCGTGCTAATACTATCACCGGCACACCACCGGAGCCGCCAACAAAGAATTCTAGTCTATCTCCAAGTGCTCTCGAGGTTCTCGAGGTTGATATCCTTTGGCCGCGTTGGGTAGCGAGGATTGGTGTGACGCGATCCACGCAGGCGTGGTTTCTGGCGGCCGACCGTCAGTGCACGGAGTTGCCCCTTCTCCGACTGCCCCGGCTAGTTCACGAGTTTCGCGGGAGTGAGTGACCCCATGCGTCAAACCTGAGACCTAGCGCGGGTGGGTTGGAGGGGGCTCGCCCCGTTCCTCCCCATCGGGCCGCGTGAGCGGCCTCGCCTCGCAGATTCGTTTCTCGCGCCTGGGTCAGGCGCGCGGGGCATCCCCCGGGTCGCTCGACCAGCGATCCGAAGAGTGGCCGCTATGCGAAGGAAAGAGTGGGGCCCTCGGGGTACGCCTCCGTCCGGCCCCCTCCGAGGGGGGAAGGGAATTGCGGGGTCCCCACGGGCGCCTCAGTTCGGCCCTCCCGAGGGGGGGGAGGGGAGCAAGGGGGTGGGGGGGTCGGGGCGGGGGGGAGGGGTCTCGGGTTTCTCTCACAGCAGACAGGCTCGACACAGGTGCGAACTGGCGCGTGCTAGTACTGGAACAAAGAATTTTTCCGTTTGTGTGTGTGTGTGTGCACACACACACTCACACACACACACTGTGTGTGTGTGTGTGTGTGTGTGTGTGTGTGTGTGTGTGTGTGTGTGTGTGTGTGTGTGTGTGTGTGTGTGTGTGTGTGTGTGTGTGTGTGTGTGTGTGTTTTCTTTCTGTTTCTTTCTTATTTATTTTTATGAACACACGTGTCCCTCCATTCACACTCTCCGAATCCTTCTGGTCCAGTGCCCGTCTTCTCAGCCCGTCGTCGGTCCTGCCGGGCTGTTTCGTCTCCTAAGACGTTCTACCTACAACTGTATGCCCAGGCGGGGAAAAAGCAGGACCTCAAGGCAGGCTTGGTTGGCGCATGGCGGCGTTTCGAGGATTTTAAAGCCTACAACTTGAGAGAGAGAGAGATCTCCTACAACTTCGGCCAGCAGTGATCTGTGATCTGTGAGGGTCCGCCCGCAGGCGCATTTTGTATACCGAGGCGGTGCCCGGTGCCGAGCGCAGGCAGAGCCCACAGGTCGGACCTTGAGACAGCGTTGTAGATCCCTGGGCGAGGGAGGGTGATGGCGTCCCCGTCGGGTCAGTCAGGGCTGAAGGCGGGGGAGACCAACCCGATCTCTCCGGCGTCCCGGGAGCGTGATTGACACCTCCCCCCGTGCCAACAGCCCCATGGAGGTAGGCCGCTCGTCTAGCCAATCAGCCTTAAGCGAGCGGCCTGGCCGTTGGAATGGCCGGGTGGAGAGAGGGGCGGAGTCGGCTCGGAAGCGCGACTGCAGCCACGGGGACTGCCCGCCCACTCTCGTCGGGTTGAGGGGAGGACGACTGTCTCCGCAGGCGGACCTCAGTTACGAGCCGCCCTCCCCTCGAGGCCAGCGCACGTGGGGCCGACGCGATGGGCGCCATCTCCGCCTTTGAACGCAAGGAGGAGGAGTCCTTCCTTGGCGGCGATCCCGAGGACGTGGCCATCTGGGCCGTGGCTCGTGAGGCGGCCCGCTCGCTTCAACAGTCCCTCGTAGCCGATGACCCGACCAACCGCGCTCAGGACAAGGCCTACTCGAAGAAGGTCGCGGCTCTGCAGAGAGCGGCAGCGCGGACGCGGCGGATGTATGGCGAATCCTCGCGCGACTTCGGTCGCTCCATGGCTTACTTTGGATGGGCAGACATCTGACTGACGGCGAGCGCGAGCCGACCTCCGTCGTCCGTGCTCCGAGACGAGTGGCGAGCGAGGGGGGTTCCGCTCAGGGACAGGCGCATCCAGGACGGTAGTCGGTAGGTAAGTGTGGCGTGTGAGATTTGTGGAGCCGGGTTGGCGGCGGAAAGTTTAAAGCGCGAGAACAACGAACGGCCAGCTCACACACCTAAACTTTCACCAGCTGCAGATCTATAAATCCCGGGCACCGCCAACGTCCGCCAGCTCGCTCTCTGGCGGCATCCGCAGCGGCGCCATCCGCTCGGGCGCCTCGGCAGCCTGCTCCTGCTTGGTCGGATCGCACCACACAACCTCGCGCAGCAGCACGCCGTCCTTGTAGCTGAACTGGTAGATGGCCGCTTGCCGGTACGCCCGTGCCAGCTTCAGCACCTGCGCGCGCGCGAACCTTCGCTCGTCAGTGGCAAAGGCGACGCAGAAGCCGTCCTCTCGCCAGCCCTCCTCGGCGCTGAAGCCAAAGCTGTGCCACCACGCGCGCGGGACTGGCCGCAGGCTGGCAATGTCGGCCTGCAGCTTGCGGTTCGCCTCGCGGTTTACAGCCGCGGGCGCCGCCTCGCCCATCGGATTGTGCGCGGTGAGCGCGAAAACTGCGCTCTTGGCCAGAACCTTTACTCGACACCTTCGGGCGGCGCCGCGCCGGGCGGCAGAGGCGCGAGGTAGAGCACCCCGTTTGGAGCGGCGATTCGCTCGGCACCCGGCACGGCTATCATCCCGTCGATCGCCGCTCCCCACAGAGCGCTGAGCGACTCGTCGGAGGGAGCGGCGGCGTGAAGGCTGCTGCGGACGGCCGCCGTGGAGGAGCCGCCAAGAACCGCGAGGGCGGCGCGCACGACCGGACGGCGGAGCATCGGGACCGAAGGGTTATCCGGTGGCCCAGTCTTGTCGGCCGCGTGGAGGCCCTGAGCTCCAGGTCTTCAACCAAACCTTCAACAACTACTCCGCCGATAACGATTGGGGTGGGGGCCCCAACTCGTGAAAGGCCACTAGTTTCTCGAAGCCACTCACACGAGGACTCACCTCCATGACACTTCCATCTTCTCCCCGGACCTCGCAGCTCGCTGCGTGTGGTTTTATTTATCATGGACGCTATGGCGTCTAGGACGCGCCTGTCTTTCACCGCCTCGTTTAGCGAGCGCTCTGCATGGCAGCGTGCTCCTCTTTTGCTGACCGCCAGAGCGGCGGCAGCACAGATTTCTGACTCCCCGCTTCGCCTGTCCTCCTTAACCGTTTTCTGATTTGGGTCGACGCGAAGGCGCGCTCGGCGAACAGGGGATCGCAGGGCGGGGCGACAGTACGTGACGGGGTGCGCTCCGGGCTGTTGTTCCTAGCTCGCCACCTTGGGCTTCCCATTTCCATCGGGTCCGTGGTGGCGGAGGCCGCAGCGCCGCCGGGGAGGAAGTTGCGGCGCGAGCGCCGCTCGGGCTCTCTTCCTATCAAGGTCTACTGCCACTTCGAGGAGTTGGCCGCGTCTCCTGTCGACACGCCCGCTCGCTTCTTCGCCCGGTCGATCGTACTGGGGCTGTTCTCGAGTCTTCGAATGGTGGACATCCTCCGGGCGTGCATCGGTCCCCTCGAGGACCTGCAGTGCGTCATGCTCGTTACTTCCTTCTCCAAGGACGGCGCGCCGATCGACGTGTACCTTCCGGCGGAAGGCTTCCTTGGCGCGTGGGCATGGTGGCCCGAGCACCGAGCCGCCCTCCTGGGCCGGCCATACTTGCTGCCCGCCTTCGCGGCGCCGCGCGGCTACGCGGGAGACGTCCGCTACGCCTCCGACTTCCTCGTGGACGGCCGCGTCGCCCCCAAGGCGCACGCAGTCCGCTCGCTCTACGTGCTCTCGTCCGAGCCGCCGCTGCGCATGGGCCAAGAGCGGTGGTCGGAGCTCGGCTGCACGCCCCACTCGTCTCACGGCTCTCCAGCCGACATGGGGGCCGTCGTCTCTCACCACGCGCCGCCCGACATCGCCTTCACGCCTCAGGACGAGAATGAGATCTGCCATTGGCGTCGCCGCGCCCACGCCAATAGCGGCGACGGCGAGCTGACGCTCGAGGGCGCTATCGCGCATCTCGCTCCGCGGCGGCGCGGCCATGCGGGCGCTGCGCCTAGCGTCGCGGCCCCTCCGGCCGTCGCTGCTGACGACCAGAGCATGCGTGTTCGGTACACGGCGGGCGCCAACCGCGAGGGCCGCCGCCGGGCGCAGCTTCGTGTGCGGCGTCGGTGGATTCTAGCCGTTCGCCGTGGTCTGGCGCGTTTCGGGCGGCCGTGGACCGATCTTCCTGGCGACCGCTCCGACTACGACATTCTCGTCGATCTTCCGGCGGCGCCGTAGCGCGCGGGCCTCGTCCCTCTCTCTCGTCGGGTCTCGTCCCGCGTCCCTGATGGGCTGTCGCGCACATCCGTCCCTCTCTTTCGTCTTCATTGGGTGTCGAGTCCCCTCTGCTCTCGCTCCTCCACTCTCTGCTTTGGGATGTTAGCGTGCTCTCGTACCGTGAGTACTCTCCATGTGTGGAGTCACGAGTCTCGTACGCATGACGGACCCTTTTACCATTCCAATGTATCCTCACTCGGATACTAGGATGTGTGAAGCGAGATAAACTAGTCCGCCGATAACGATTGGGGTGGGGGCCCCAACTCGTGAAAGGCCACTAGTTTCTCGAAGCCACTCACACGAGGACTCACCTCCATGACACTTCCATCTTCTCCCCGGACCTCGCAGCTCGCTGCGTGTGGTTTTATTTATCATGGACGCTATGGCGTCTAGGACGCGCCTGTCTTTCACCGCCTCGTTTAGCGAGCGCTCTGCATGGCAGCGTGCTCCTCTTTTGCTGACCGCCAGAGCGGCGGCAGCACAGATTTCTTTTCTCCCACCCACCCTCTCCAACGTGGGGTCGACTCGTACTACACAAGACTGCTCTCGTCGAATCTAGTCCACAATCTCTCTCATCATGCGGCGGAGACGTGCCGCGATGATGTCGCCATGGCACCGCTTCGGCGCGCATGCGCACACCAGCCGGATTTGCTCCCCAGCCAACATGCGCTTGAGCACTCCTGCGAACGCATCCTCTCTCCGCTCTCGGGTGACCTCTCTCGCGCCCTCGTCGACCGCCAACGGCGGGCAGCGGCGCCCTGCAGCCTCACTGGCCGTCGCCCTCTCCTCTAGTATCTCTCGGTAGCCGTCTACGACCGCGTCCCTCTCTCTCTCTCCTCTCATCACCAGCGGGTTACCGAACGGCGAGCCCCGCCGGATGTCGACGTCGCTCGGGGAGCGCTGGCGGCGATGGTGCTTGTTCACCACCACCACCGACCTATGATCATTCTGCCGAGGTCACACGCGTCTCCCGGCGTGCCAACGCGCTGGGCGGCGCCATGCGTGCCCCTACTCTTCGTTAGCCGCGGGTGCCTCCGAGCGCTCCGCCGTCTTCTTCTTCATCTCGGGCGGGTGGCGGTACTCGTTGCACCTGCGCTGCCGGTACGCGTGGCACGCGCCGTCCTTCTTCCAGGCGGGGCAGATGGGCAAACCCTCCCACGATGGCTGGCGGGGCTTCTTCCCCCCCTTGCTCGCGGTGGGCTCCTTCGCGGCTTGCGCCACGTCCTTCTTCGGCGGCGCAGGCGCCTTTCGCTTGTCCTTGCGAGCCGCGATGAGCTCGGCGGAAGCCATCGTGGCGACTAGCGCCGCCGTCAGGCTTCCGCGCCGCGCCGAATGCTGCGCGATCAGCTCATTCCAGATGGACCTCGCATACTCCTCCTGCTGGCTCGGGGCCAGAGGCCCGAGCGCAGCGACGACGCGGTCTACCGACGAAAGTACCGTATTCGGTACTATCAAGAAAGACACCGAAAAAAGTCGCCGCGGCAGTCCACGACGAGCCAGCCTGCTGCCGGCTCGCACGGCAGCCTCTTCCTATGGACCAGCCTCGACTTCCATACAGTCAACATTTTGTCGCTGCGTGCTCGTGGCGAGCTGTGGCGGCGGTCGAAGTTGGCCCAGATTCGACGACGAGCGCCGGACGATAGTACCGCCTCTGTTCGCCCTGTGCATGTCAGGCCAGGCTGCAGCAGGCACTACCAACGTGCTGCCCTGTTGCAGCCTGACTTTGCCCACTGTGCACAGTCGCCAGAGCACCACCACCGCCCGGCATCGTGTCACGGCGAGCTCCTTCTGCGCCCGCTCGCGAGGCTCTCGCGCTGGCACACTTTGGCCATCTGCTGCTCGCGTTCGGCGAGCTCTTCTCCGCACTCCTGCCACGGTGCCGTCACCACACACCTTCTGGCTGGCCTGAGCCGCGCGGGGTCGCCGGCGGGGGCAACGCGTCGACCTCTCTCTCTGGTGCACCACGGGCCGCAACGGCCTGCTAGCAGCGTGCGCGAGGAGGCAGTGTGCCGGCACAGTCGAGCCGGAGCATCGGGTTCTTGATGCATCTGGGGTCAAGTTTGACCTTATGTGGTATAATATGCAACAATAATGCTATGCTCTCACCCAGCCTTTTGAGATATGATCCCTCAAAGTCGAATTTTCGTTTACTGGTGACCATAGTACCGTCTGTCCGGTTCGCGTTTCTTCAAACGAATCCTTTAAAGTCTCGACCATCACTAAGCTGCTTATGTGGCACCGCAGAGGCTCCCTTGGGGATGCCTGAGGCCACCCCAACCACTCACTAAGCCGTACGTAGACGAATTGGGCGCTACTTTTTTCGTTTACCCACATTATGCGAGTAATAAGGGCGCCGGGGGGGGGCCCTTGCGAGACACAGGGCCGTTGTCTGCTGTGCCTTTTGTGGTGCTAGTTCGTGCCAGTCTGCTGTGAGAGGGGCTGGGTCGTAAATTCTTTCGTGCTTACATTCTTTCGCCCAGTCCCATATGTATGTATGTCCCACTTCAACCAAACCTTCAGCCTCCGCCAGGGGGCGTGGGAACCCGTCGGGCGCCCGGCTACAGTGGGTTGCGGGCATTAAGAAAACGTCGCATTAAGAAACCCTACCAAGCGATTTCCGCAAAAATCTAAGAAACCACGGGGCGCCGCAGGCGCGGCCCCGAGAAAAGGCCAGACACGAGTGTGAACGGGTCCGGAGCCCCAGCTGCAGCTCAAAATTTCTCTTCGCCTGGGCCTGCGGCAGCGCACTTGTCACTTTTCAAGTCTGCGGTGTTCTGAGTGGAGTGGTCAGTGGATGGAGGCGTGTGTGCGTCTTCCCCTCATCCAGAGAGCCGACTCGGCGGCAGACTCTTGGCATCGCCCTCGCGGACCGAGCTTTAACACTCTTCTTACCTAAAAATCCTTCGGGCCGGCGCTCTGGCTTGATTGAGTGCCCCGCCCGGAGCTAAGAAACCACGGCGTGGGGTGGATGAGGGTTGTGGAAAGGCTTAGAAACGGCGGCGTGCCGCGGAATCCTGTTTTCTTAATGCCCGCAACCCACTGTACGGGAGGCGCCGCCTCACCCACCGAGTCGCGGACCTCGAGCGGGCGGCCATGACCATCCCTGTCGGCGTCACCGTGAACGTCGTCAACCCGGGCGGGCCGCTGCACGACGACTCCGAGACGGTGAACGAGTCGGAGGTGGAGTGGCTCGAGGACGACGAGGCGTAGCGCAGTGTCACGCGATCGTTATACACACGGCGCCCCCCTGGACGGCCACAAGGCGGAGGACCAGGCCGAGGGCACCAACGTGGCCAAGTACTTTGACCGCGGATGGTGCTACACCGAGGGCAGCTGGGCGGGCCTGACCAAGGGCAGCAGCCTCTCGCTCGACCTCGGCAAGATGCGCGACGGCGAGGAGTACGACTGGAGCAGCCTTCGAGACGACTGCGTCCAGGACGGCGGCCGGCGCCCTCCGCTGCTGCCGTCTGCGTTCGCGGCGGAGCTGGAGACGAAGAGCTTCACTAACGGCAAGGAGGACTATCCGCTCGTGAAGCGGCTGTACGAGGACGCCTTCCAGGAGCAGTTTGGCAAGGCGACCGTGCTTAAGTACTGGAACCTCGGCTGGGGCGACGCGGAGGCGGCGCAGCTGGCGGAGGTCCTCGCGAGCGGGGCAGCGCCGCGGCTCGAGGTGCTCAATCTCGAGTGCAACGAGATTGGCGACGAAGGTTGCAAGGCGCTGGCCGCCGCTCTTGGCAAGGAGGGGGCAGTGCCGCGGCTCGAGGAGCTCAGTCTCGGCGAGAACTTCCAGATTGGCGACGAGGGATGCAAGGCGCTGGCCGCCGCCCTCAAGGAGGGGGCCGCCCCGAGCTTGAAGGCGCGAGACGCCCCCCTCGCCACACGCCCCTTCCACGCCCAAAGCTCATCGCGCCTCCCCGCTCGCGTGCAGATGCTCGTCGTGGGCTACTGGTTGCGTGACGATCAGCGTGAGCAGCTGGTGGCCGCGTGCGAGGAGCGGGGGTTCGAGCTGTAAGTGAGAGAGGGGCTCCCACGCGAGCGCTGGCACACGACTGCTGGCACACGACCGACACACCGAGATCTCACTGTGCCGCGGTGCGCATGCGTTTGTTTTTCTCCTCTCGGACAATCCTCACCACGCCTGGCGCGTGTGCCCCGTTCGTCGCCCTCACCTCCTTCTCCAGACCGCCGTTTTCTCATGAGGCGTGCTTGAAAAATTCTTTTCGGTCTGGCCGCTCTCTCTCTCTCAAAGCAACAACGGCCAGCGATGGCCGGCAAGCAGCCCAAGGACGCCTTCCCGCTGCTCAAGAGCGCGGAGATCCTGCAGTGCCTCAACGAGCTGGGCATCGCCTCCTCCGAGGACGATCTCCTCCACCCGACCGGCCTCAAGGTGCAGCACATATACGCGTCGTTCAACGAGCTGCTGCTGCACCGGAAGCGCGAGGACATGGCGCAGCCCGACTTCGAGGGGCTGCAGGAGCTGGAGTTCCCGGAGCTACACGAGCAGTCCGTCCCGATGATCGGCTTCCTCTCCGCCTGGTGCGCATCCCTCCCTCGGCGCGGCTGGCGGCGGCGGCGGCGCACGTCGCCCGCGCGGCGGCGCCGGCCCTCTCCCTCTCGCGCCGCGCCGCGCCGCTCTCCCAACCGCCACCCCGGCCGGGATGCATCCCCGCGCGGCCACGCCCGCCCCCACCCGCCCTCCTTCGCCCTCTCTGTACGCCGCCTCTCCCTCGCCGCCGAGCGCGGAGAAGTCGGGCGCTGACGCCGGCTCTGCCCCTCTGTGCAGCCAAAAGCTGATGGCGATCGCGGGCGTGGGCGACTTCACGATGAGCGACCTCATCAAGCCGGAGGCGCGGCGAGTGCGGCGCAGCCTCTCCGCCGTCATCAACCTAGCAAAGTGCCACGAGGACAAGCTGCCAGGCCTTTCCTGGACCTTTCCTGGACCTTTCCTGGACCTTTCCTAGGTACCACGAGGACAAGCTGCCCGGCCTTTCCTGGACCTTTCCTGGACCTTTCCTGGACCCCTAGGTTTTACCACGAGGACAAGCTGCCTCGCCTTTCCTGGACCTTTCCTGGACCTTTCCTGGACCTTTCCTAGGTACCACGAGGACAAGCTGCCCGGCTACATGCAGTTCTCGCAGGAGACGGACGCGCTGCTCAACGCAAAGGCCTCCCTCGAGGAGGAGAGCGAGCGGCTACTCTCCGCGCGCAGGCAGGCGGAGCAGAGGCGTGCCGAGGAGGAGCCGGCGCTGCAGCAGATGGAGGCGGAGAACGAGCAGCGGCAGGTCACCGTGCGCGAGCTCTTCAACTCACACACGCACTCACACACACACACACACACACACACACACACACACACACACACACACACACACACACACACACACACACACACACACACACACACACACACACACACACACACGCACACACACACACACACACACACGCACGCACGCACACACGCACGCACGCACGCACGCACACAGCCCCCGCCCTGACCCCAGGTCACCGTGCGCGAGCTCTTCAACTCACACACCGCGATCCTCAACGAGTCGCACGCGCTCAAGGCCAAGGTGTGTCTCGCGCCTTTGGGGGGGGGGGGACCTCTTAGCGCCATTGTTGTGTATCGCGTCTTGGGGGGGGGGGGGGGGGGGCTTT